AAAAATTTTTTTTATTTAGTTAAACCAAGCAATTAACAGAATTTAAATGTCAATTCTTTGCCAATATTACAAAGGATTGAGGTTGGATCACTGTATTATATCGATAAGTAATAGGTCATAGAAATAGTAATATTACAAAGGATTGAAGTTGAATCACTGTATTATATCGTTAAGTAATAGTTCATAGAAATAATACGGAAAATAAGTGTTCCTTACTAAACACGAGTATACAGTATTTGATGCATAGAACAATAATGATAATTGGTACTTGAACCTTCTCTGGACAATGACATTTTGAAAGAGTTGAAAGAGGAAAATAATTACTTTTATTTTTATTCTATTTCAGAAGGGTAGTGCAAACATTAAGTTTTGCAATATTTCGACTTAATTTTGTGTTCTATCTTCGAATGTTCATTAAAATAAAAGATCATAACCAATAAAAGAATCTTGATTATTGAAAACAAAAACTTTTCTAAATAAAAACTTATTTCTTACATAAAATTCGAGGCTTAAATGGATTTTGTGTGAATAATTGTACTACAGAACGTAGGATGGTGGCAAGATAGTATCAATCATAGATGTGGGTATTAAGTCAATATTATTATAGGAGGGTAAGGAATTTAAGTCTACGCAAACATCATCTGGTAAAGACGACGACAAGTGTGATGGGTTTTCGGTGATTCCTTTGCTATATGCAGGAAGTATTATGTCATCAATGCTGCCCATCGGACATGTAATAATGACTGGCAAAACATTGCGAAGTTCGGTAAACACTTTATTCTCTTCATTTTGAAGTATGATACTAAATGTTAATTCATGTTGAATTCGTATTTGGTCATTTTCTGAATCTGGTAGGCACCTTGATGAAATTAATATCTCTCTATTCTCAGACCAAACTCCTTCGTAAAAAGTAGCTGACCGATTTTTTGTAAAACAAATAATTCGTTCATTGATAACTTCTTTCGATCTGACTTTATAAGTTATGATCTCTTTGAAACCGCAGTAAATTTGAAAGACCTTAAGCCCCAATATCAAAGGTCTGATCGTGATTTCTATTGGAATCTTGCCACCGAGACAAAAATATTTTGAGCTGACGGAAATTTCGTATTCGGCTTTGTTTTCCCAAGAGTGAAAGACAAAAGTACCTTGTAGAGAGATGAGGGAATTTGATACCAGACATCTATTGATCTGAATCCTACGGTCAGTACTGAGATTTGAGAAAAAAATGGATCTCTCGACGACAGCTTTAAGACTGTAACGGAAATAACTTCCATTCCAGGTATCGATGGTTTCGATCAGAGATCCGGGCAGAACGAGTTCAAAATCCCAATAGTAATTATCCGGCTTGAGTACATGGTATTTGTTTTGTGCAGAGAGGAAGACCCACTCATGTTGATATAGCATTCTTTCTTCAATACAATCGGCTTCATTTGTGTTGCATTCTAAGCAGAAGAGAAACACGTAAATGAGTACCGCAACCAATAAGATTAATAATTATACGAGAACAATGTAAAACAAATGGAAATGTACCTTGTTTCAAAATAATTCGGGACTTTCCTTGAAAGGTCAGCCTTATTGCTTTTACCTTGACAGGCTCAGTAATTGCCAACACGAGTTGTCCACGTAGAGTACAACCAACCGCTTCAGATTGAGACCCGCTCATTATAAGATTGTCATTTTCCAACCGTATTTGAAATAGAGGTGAAGGATTGGTTGTTAAAACATTGATCATTTTTACAATATTGTTTTTGAATATCGGTTGGAGTTATTAATTTTCTGTCAGGAGTTAGTACAAATCGACTTAAAATAATTTCCGTAGAACTTTCTGGTAACATGTATATATATAAAAATTCGACAAAAAAATAGTTCCTTGTTTGTAGAATACATTTAGTTGATGCTTCTTAACGTTTTTGCATAATGATATTTTGGGGGTAGAACACCTGCAGAGAATAAGAACGTTTCAAAAAAGCTTACGCCACTCAGAATAATAGCTATAAGCGGGAGTGTCCTGACCGTTCATTATGAATATGCACGTCCTTATTGATAAAAAACGATCTTTCTATATTAAGAAGGGACAAGCTCCCGTGGTGTCATGCCTCATTACTTATTTAGAAATTTATATAAAGCAAATTCTGATCGGAACTGTTTGTTTTTTTTTTTTTTTAATGTATTCTTTCTAGGAACAAGATTTCCAAAAAAGATCAATAAGTAAGATCACGTGCATAAAACAACAAACAGAACTGCATGAAAAAGCTACAAAAGAGGTTTTCAATGAAATAGCCAGTTAGCGTGAATAAAAAATGGGGGTAATATATAGCCAATAGATGTCGTGGCTGTGAAATTACTGTATTATTGAATATTTGTGATACACACCAATCTATTATTTGCGTGCACAATACAGTATTACGAGTCACATTGTAAATATCGTCATATTGAAAAGTAATATTTCTCATATCGATAATTGATAACTTCAAGATTTCGAATTCCCCAACTTAGGTTAAACCTTAACTTCAGGTTAGTACATGATATTTTATTTATTCAAAAAAAAAAAAAAAAAAAAAAACAAACAAACAAAAAAAAAAAAATTTCAATCAAATAAAAACTTCAAC